TCGCCCAGGGACAGGGACCGGGTGATGATCTCTGTCTCTATCTCCCGCGATGACCCTGGCTCATCATCATCCCTCCCGGAGCGATCTGCTCTCATTGTGTCTTTCTTTAGTTTTACAGGGGCGACTGCTACCGGCACAGGTTGGTCATTGGGCTCAGTACACCCCATCCACCCCAGCCACCATCTTGCTCAACCTGTCCCAGAGAGTGTGATGTCCTCATCCTCATGCTCAGGGATTCCTTCCTGTTCCCAAGAAGATCGCACACACAAGCGAGTTTGAACATGCTTTTATTCATGGCCACAAAGCAGAGCAGCAGGTAGCACTTTTGGGAGGAAGGGAATTACATGAAACTGTATGTGCTTCAGACCTGTTTTTTGCCTTGCCATTGGCGACATTATTTAGCGCAGAAGCCTGTGTATATGCCATGAGAGCATCTCTGACTCTATTTAAATGTCCCCTGGAAGCCTCTGAGTGTCAGCAGATGTTTGATACGTTGTGGAAATGGGGCACTGATCACTTTAGTCAGAGGAGGGAGAGTCAGGGAGGTCCTGGAGCACAAACTTCCTCAGCTCTTCATGTATCCAGGGCTCAAAATAGGAGACTCTGGTAAATATTTTAGGGAAGACACAGTATTTGGGCCCATAAGAAACAACGCCATGAGCCTTCCCATTGCAGACTAATGGGCCACCAGAATCACCCTGTGAGGGAAAAGAAGCATGTCTGCTTTAGAGTTCCTGAGAGGACCCTCAGCATATTCATCCTGAAGTATCTAGTTCATTATAATCCCCTTTGTCCCCCACCTGAGAACCAATCCGACTGCCTAGTCCCAATCTCATCCCAAGCTTGGAGCCCAAAACAACACTTACACGGGAAGTTGATTTTTTTCCCTCCTCATCTCCAGCACAGATCATGGACTGATGCAGATATTTCTTTTGGAAACGATTCTCACAGACTTTTTCACTCAACACCTTCAGGTCCACCTCCATCAGCACACTAGTCTCATCCCCTGTCGTCGATGTCCAGCCCCAGCCAGCCACTTTACATGTAGTATTTGGTTTCACTTGTTCATTGTGACGGGGCAAGGAGATATAACTGACTTCCTTAGTCAGCTTGGCCCTTGGCTTCAGCTGCCAAAGAGAGAGAACAAAAGATTAGAGCAGGCAAAGGAATAGCAACAAGTTAGTGGGGTTGGGGAAGTGAGGAGGCGGAGGACCCTCAGCAGGCAAGATGTGTGAGGGCATACCTTCAGAAGCATGATGTCATTTTCCTTTTTATCTTTTGAATAGTTGGGGTGGATGACCCAGTGGCCAACATGGAACACCTGCCAGCTCGGCTCTTTCTTTTTCAAGTTGTGGGCTCCCAGGATCACAGTGGTATTCACTGCCCTGCCAGGAAACACAAACATGTTCCAGCTGCAGTTACCACGGCCAGAAGACCCCCATGGCAGGTGGTTTGTGGTAGATGATAGTGGTGGGATGTGCCTCCCAGAGATTAGTTCTCAGCAAGTTGCCCTCTGTAGGCTGGGCTCCTTCCACAATTCAAGTGAGGGTCCCTTACCCCATGGTGACATAGGACTGAGGTATCCCATTCGGAAGACCAAAGGGAAGCAGGGAATGGGAGACACTGGCCTCTCTGCTTCAACAGTAGCTCTGATGCATGGTAGGAACCATGGAGCAGGAGAGTGTTGCCACTGAGGAGTCCTGTCCCTGGGGGCACACAGCCCCTGACAGACAATTCCTGCAACTCACAGGGGGTGGCTTGGCTCACAGAGAGCCCTGCTGTGCCTGAAGACACACAGAGTACTCTTTCACCCGTGACCAAGACTGTGGCTCTTTGTGACTGCATGAGACTAGAAAAGATCCCATGTACAAGAAAGACAGGGTCTTACTTTTTTCCAGTTACACAGTGAGCTGCTGAGAGCACTGCGTCTGGGCGAATCAGGAATCCTCCACATTCAAATTTATGTGACGCATTTCGAATTAATAAATGAGCCATGTAGGGCCTGGAGTGGGGCTGAGCTTCCCATCCACCAATGATCCTTCCTGGAGGAGAAATGAGAAGTGTTAATATGACATATGCCTCTATTTCCTATCACATTCAGAGGTGGATGAGGGGGAAGGGTCATCCTCTGGCGTTGTATGCCAATGACACCAAATACTCTCCTTCACTGGGCTGTTGAAAACATTGCTTGTGCACAAGGCAGAGAAAAACAAGTAACACTGCCTGGGGTGACTGACCACACCTGACTCTGGATGTCTGAAATGCTATCAAAGGCCACTACACTAGTGCCTGCAAGCCGTCACTAGTTTCAGGCACAGTCTGATCTGAGAGAGAGGAGTAGAGTAGAGAGTAGATATATGAGGAAAGGTAATCCAGATAGGTTTCCTACTCAGTGCTCATTTCTGCCCTTGTCTGTCCTCATCTAAATCCCATCTCTCGGTACTCACCAGCACCAGCCCATGGGACAAGGAGCAAAGCACTTGGGAGCAGAAGGAGGAGCAGCATCTTGTGTCACTGTCCTGAAGAGCCAAAACAGTTGTTATGGCCAGGCAGCAGACAGGTACAGAATGGCAATCTATATATACGAAGTTTGGAGCTGAAACAGGAAACCTCAGCCTGCTATCAGATTGTGTCATTTGCTGCTCTTGTTCTTAAAAATCCAAGGCTGTGGTTTGGTGAGGGGTTCATGTCACAATCATATCACCAAAACATGGTGACATGTGTCTTTCACCATCTCCTCCAAAAGCTGGAAAGAACTACACTTTTTCAGAGTACTGAGAGTTCCCATTACCAAGGCAGCAGTGAGAGGAGTGGGGCATCGCCAGTCAAGTGCATATCTCATGGGAGACTCTTGACCAGATCCTTCTTGGATCCTAGATATGGGGAATTTCCTTTTTCTTTTTCTTTTTTTTCTTTTTCTTTTTCTTTTTCTTTTTCTTTTTCTTTTTCTTTTTCTTTTTCTTTTTTCTTTTTTCTTTTTTCTTTTTTCTTTTTCTTTTTTTCTTTTTCTTTCTCTTTTTTTCTTTTTTCTTTTTCTTTTTCTTTCTCTTTTTCTTTCCCTTTTTCCCTATTCCCTGATAGTAACAGTGAGAGCTGAATAGGGTCAGGCAGAGGTCCTGGTTCTTATCAGAGGGACTGACTGCCATCAGAGGTGCCCCTGGGATATCAGAAATCACCTGTCAGAGTAGCTAAGGCACAAGACCTACTGGAGACTCAGAACCTCAAACACTGGTGTTGTAGATGATCAAGCAAGTCCATAGTAATGAGAAAAGTCTGACGCCAAGCTGGAAAGTCAGTCCATGGGCCCAGATCCAGATCAGCAGATTACATGGCCAGGCACAGGCATGGCTGAGATACAGCTGGAATCTCCTGTTCAAAGCATCTCCCATGAGAAGAGGAGCAGCCATGACTGAGGCTTCTCTAAAGTCCTCCCTGGGAGCGCTTCTGTCTGAACAAGTCCAGTTCGCTCAACCTTTCCTCAGTGTAAACCCTTATGGTGCTCCACTTGTCACAGGCCTCCAGGTAGAGTATGCCTGTTAAGCAACACCACCACTCTCTGAGCCTGATAATCCAACCTGTTTTTACCCATCCAGTTGTCCGCGCGCTCAGATCATAACATCCTAACCTAGACAGAATATCCTGGGAGACAGAGCCAAAAGCCTTCCTAAAGTCAAGGTAAACGGCAACCACTGCTCCTCTCCATCCATAACTCCAGTCATTTGATTATAGAAGGCAATCATGTTGGTCATGCCTGTTTCACCCTTGGTAAACACATGCTGACTTTTCCAATCCCCTTCCTCTCCTCCATATGCCCTAACGTGCATTATGAGAGGACTTGCTCCACTTTTTTTCAGACTTCTTAGGAAATTTCTGCTTCTCTTGTTTGCTAGATCTCACCCTTCACATTTTTATTCTCCCAGAGCCTGTCAGCATGGTATCTAATCTGGGTTAATCTGCTTCCTGGGAGCTTTTTAACTGTCCAGTTTCCTTGCCACTGAGAGATAAAGCAGAAAGTTGCAAACCGCTTTGCTTTCTGTAGTGTGTGAGATTATCAGAGGAGCACAGACCCAGACTGAGGAGACATTTCAGACACACCAAGTTGCAGCACTGAATAACAGTAAACACTTGAGCAAACTCCCATCCCTCTTCAGTATTTTTATATTTCCAGGAAAGAGCTGATGTTCTCAAAGATTCCTCTTTTGGCTGGTAACTCCAACAGCTGTAAAGGAAGAGATTGTGTCTTCCCAAGTGGGAAGATATGCTGCAAGGCTTATGGCCCCTTGAATAGGCCTGTGCAACCACACTACTGAGCACGTGGGCTGGCGCATGTCCGGGCCCTGCTTGGTGGTACTATTATGGAATTACTGTTCTTTGTGCCCATGTATTTTTCCATTCAAAATATTGGAAGTGACAGAGTGGACCTACTTGTGTGACAGCTTACCAGGGCAATGTTTTCAAAGGTGAGCTCTGACCTCTAGTTTATGTCACGTGACTTCGTCTTTGACTTTGGCCCCTGGCAGGCTGAGGATCTTTACTGCCTGTGTCTGAAGGGACTAATTAAGGGATGCTGGGAGCAGAATTTTGGGATTGTACAAAAGATACTATGAGATGTTTAAAGCCAGGGGTTAAAGGTGGGGAAAGCGAAGGACCAAGGTGGTGTGAAGAGAAACACCTGTGGGAGAGAGGGGATGAAGGGATAAAAGGGGCTGCTCATTGGTGCATTTGTCTGGCCATGTGCTTTGCCAGATCTCATCTTGTCTCTCCTGAAACTCCATCTCTTTAATGATTTTGAGAACGACTTCTCTGAACACCAAGCCCATGAGAAGAGCAGGAACCATGCTTCTGTTGCAGTGCTGTGGCAACCAACAGACCACATATACATGCTACATATGACTTGCTTCCGCCCCTCCCTCCCCCAGCACTAGACTGCCTGGCTCATTCAGACAGCCACCATCCTTACCTCAGATGTATTTACTTCACCTGTAACAATGTCAGCCTCTTCTTTTCAATATTCACAATGATTTCCACAGCTTTTCACACAACATTGATGTTTGTATCCAACGTGAAAGATCAAGCTTTCTGTTGATTTTAAACTTTGTGCGTTTTCTGCCTGGGTGTGAAACCAAGGAGGCACAAATTCAGTGTGAAACCTGAAGCACAATCATTTCTACAGGGCACAAGGGGAAGAATATACTAATGCAACCTGAACATGTGTGTCACTTTCCTACAATCTATGAGTTCTTCCAAGAAGGACAGAAGGGTTGACCGACAATTTCATTTCCTAGTGACAAAATGTAAAACCTGCAAACTCCTCCAGACACAATATGAGGCTTAGAAGGAAAACTGAAATAGCTGCCTTATCTTTAAAGTAAAGCCTTTCACAGGAAGCTGTTTGCTTTGCCAGTGCTTTTTTACCCTCTCCTGTCTGCATCATGGTGTACTTTAGTTATTGAAAGCCTGCAGGAAAATCTGACTGCTCAGAGGTGGTAGATTGTTTACAGGTTGGTTAAAGGTAAAAGTTTTATCTGACTGCCAGCAACCAGAGCAGAGTCCATGAGTCAGCGGACTCCATGTGGCTGGTTTGCCAGGAACTGGAGAGGCCAGCAAGCCTGCCTGCATATGGTAAGAGACTTGTAAACCAGGTGTTGAAGTGTCCATAAGCGGAGATGGGAGGATCTGAGTATCTAAGGCTGAGTATCTAAGGCTGGTTACTAGCAGGATACATCACACACACTTGTCTGTGGGTGTGTTTGTGTGTGCAAATGCTTCTGTGTGCCAGCAGCTGGAGTAGGGTTGAGGGCCTCAGAGGCTTGTATGCACAGGTGCTAGCAGTTATGAGGGTGGAAGGTTGGGGTGCGTAAGGCAGGAGGGTCTGTACCAGGAGTCATAGTGGCAGAAGACCTCAGGGCTCACATGCCCAGGTGCCAGAAAATGGGGATTCAAAGGAAGGCATTGTACACCCTGAATGTCTAGGGTAGTGACTGGGAGATCTGTTTTGTGTGTGTATATCTATGTGTGTTTATACACATACATATGCCCTGCTGACAGACTATCATTCTGATCTGCCAGAGGTGAACCAGATGAGGTTGCTGGTGCCATCAGCCTTTGTAGGGTGTTTCTATCCACATTGATCTGTGTGGTCAACCTGAAGGTGTAGTCATGCCTGGGGTGCACATGTGAATGTGCCTGGAGAGGCCCAGCTGCTCTGGGGAACCCTGGCAGGACCCGCTGCAGCTGCTGCTCGCAGTCCCTGGGCTGGGCCCTAGGTCATGTCTGCAATGGGCCCTGCAGCTTGGAATGAGGTGTCCTCTGTGTTCCCTGCTCTCTGGACACAGCAACCTCCAACAGCTCCTTCTACTTTGGCGTGAGAGGAGCCGCACTTTGGGCATCCATTCTGAAGTGGTAGTAAAGTGAGTATTACATGAATTCTTCCATTTACTCCTCCCCTGATCTCACCTCGGGTGTCATCATCGATTTGTCACTGAATATTACTTGAGGTACTTTGCTTCTGCTGCAGATTCCTTCTAGTACTCCTCAAGAAACAGAATAGAATAGAATAGAATAGAATAGAATAGAATAGAATAGAATAGAATAGAATAGAATAGAATATCTGAATTGGAAGTAACCTATTACGACCATCTAGTCCAACTGGCTGGCTCCTTCAGGTTTGACCAAAAGTTAAAGCGTGTTGTTAAGGGCATTGTCCAAATGCCTCTTAAACATTGACAGGCATGGGGCATTGACCACCTCTCTAGGAAGCCTGTTCCAGTGTTGGATCACCCTCTCAGTAAAGAAATGCTTCCTAATGTCCAGTCTAAACCTCCTGTGACACAGCTTTGAACCATTCCCTTGCGTCCAATCACTGGATACCAAGGAGAAGAGATCAGCACCTCTCTTCACTTCCCCTCCTCAGGAAGATGTAGAGAGCAATGAGCTCACCCCTCAGCCTCTTCTACAATCTAGACAAACCCGAAATCCTTAGCCACTCCTCATAGGACATTCCTGAAAGGCCTTTCACCAGATTTGTTACCCTCCTCTGGCTGCACTTGTTGCGATATGTCCGTGGTGAAGATGGACAAAGCATACGTATACAATATGAATGCTGCAAATGTCAAACTTTATTCATAGATTCAGTTCCTTATATACTATTTTTAAGATTATCTCATTGGAACATGCAATTTTCTAGTGACAGCTACAGATTATACCTGATATTTATGGTGACAGCTACTGATTATATTTGATATCTATTTTCTCATTAGTACAGGATATAACTTCCTCACAGTAACATCTTTACTTGTCAATTGCATTTCTTGGCAGATCATTCAGTCCCATTTCTTTATGAATCTTTGCTTCCGTTCTTGTTTACTTCTTTCTGTACTTTTCCACAGTCCTTGATTCTTTCATCAGGGCATCCTTTGATCACTGACTTTGGTCAAGCAAGGCCTACAAGCCTTGCTCCATAGCAGCAAACCCCACGTGCAATGAAGGACCTTCACATCCTCCTTAAATTGTGGGGCCTAGAACTGCATACAGTTTTCAAGGTGAGGCTGCATTGACTCTGAATACAGTGGGAAAATCACCTCTTTAGACCAGTTGGTTATACTGTGTTTGATGCTCCCCAGGGTTCGGTTTGCCCACTTGGCTGGCAGGGCACACTGCTGATTCCTATTGAGCCTGCCATCAGCCAACAGCCCCAGATCTCTTTCTGCAGGGCTGCTCTCCAACCGTTCCTCTCCCAATTTATATTAGTGCCCAGTGTTACTCTATCCTAGCTGTAGAATCCAGCCTTTGGACTTGGCTGCCTGGAAGAGCAGAAGAGACCTAATCAGCCTGCACCAGTGATTTGCTATCCTCCTTTTCAGAAAGGTTGTTCTAACATCAGTCCTGCTGGCTACCATTTGCGATCATTGCTTATATTTTCCTCCCTGTGTTCATGGAGAACAAATAAGTCTGTTATGTTTCAATTTGTGAAGGTAATTTTCAGGTCTGGTCTTGCCTTTCAGCTCACTTGCAGAACTTCTCCAGTCAATGTGAGGCAAACTGTAGAGAGTCAAACCTATCTCCTAGGTTAGCACGGTACTTAGCAGTCTCAGCCCACGGACAAGAGCTCTGCAGAACTCCTCCGTAGGTACTTCCATTTCAGGAAAAAAAAAAATCTCTCCTTCTTCTTAGCCATGACATGGAAATGTCAGAAATGCAGGACATAAATGCATCTGATCTCCGAGCCACTGCTAAGAAACAATTTTCCTGTGTAGTACAGAGCACTGGAAATATTAGAAACTTTCATCCACTACTCCTTTACGCATTCATTTATTTATTATTTATTACAATCTTAACAAAACAAAAAAAGAGTGAACAAATGAGATCTCATGGAACATACTGCCTAAATTCCTTTCTATGTTAAATGAACGTCAAGATTGTAAAGTACAGTCAGTACTGCCCCTCAGAATACACTTAATATTCACATGTAGACATGCGTATTCCCAAACAAACAAGTCTTCAAAGGAGTTAAGCAGGAAGCGCTAGTTTGAAATCTTTGTTCCTGAGGAAATTCAGGAATAATGGCTGAGGGAACTGAGCTTGTTTAGTCTGGAGAAGAGAAGGCACAGGGAAGAACTTATCACTCTCTACAACTACCTGAAAGGAGGTCTCTTCTCCCAAGTAACTAGTGATAGGACAAGAGGAAATGGCCTCAAGTTGCGTCAGGGGCGGGTTTGATTGGGTATTAGGAAAAAATTC